CCCCCCCCCCCCCCCCACCCCCCACCACCAACTATCAACATCCTGGGGGGGTTACCCATTGAGCAGAAACTGAACCGGGACCCCCAGCCCCATATCAGTCCTGTGGCTACAAGGAGCAGGTCAGAGGCTGGGAATCCTGCAGCGAGTAACCCCCACTCCTGACACCCCCACCCAACTCCCCCACCATCGACAAGGCACAAGGCAGGAGTGTGAGGGGGGGAACAACCCCCACTCGCCTGGACGGGACGCACCTCCGACAACACACGAGAAGTTCGACACCGTCCGGGGACACAGCAGCACCCCACCCTGGCTTGATCGTCACCCCAACCGACGCACAGCCGCAGCAGTGTGTACCGTCTACAAGATGCACCCGCAGCGACTCGCCGAGGCTGCTCCTCCTCCGACTGATGGCACCTTCCGAACCCGACACCTCTTACCCCCACCCCCACCCCCACCCCCACCGACTCACTATGGAACGATGAAGGGCTGCAGATGCTTGGGTGGCACCGCTGCCCACAAGCCCCGCCGAGACCTCCCAACACACACCCCACCCCGACACAAGAACAATATCAGTCTGGGAGAGAAAGAGAGCGAGACAGGCAGAAAGACAGGGAGGGGGTGTAGGGGGCTGGGGGAGGGGATGGAGACAGGGAGGGGTGTAGGGGGAGGGGACGGAGATATGTGTAAGGCCCCGGGGGCTCCTCACCTTGATCTGCTCGACCTCCTCCGACAGCTCTGTCAGTTCGTGCAGCAGGCGCTGGTATTTCTGCTGTGGGGTCTCCTTGGTGCCACATCCTTCTGCCAGCTTCCCCCCAAAAACAGAAAGCAGAGAAACCAACAGAAATGTCACATGTTGAACGGGTTTGCTGGGGCGGGGTGGGGGTGGGAGTGGGAAGGGACGTTCAGAGTCGCGAGGGGTGGGAAGGGGGAAGACTCCAGACAGAACGGAGAGAGACTGTTCCCGGGGGTGGGAAGGTTGGTCACCAGGGGTGGGCGGGGTATGGACGGATCGGAGTAAACTGGATAAGGAACCAGAAGGTGGGTGAGGGCTTTTGGTGGGGGGCGGTGGTGGTGGTGGAGTCAGAATAATGCGCTGCCCCTCAAAAGGGGTTGGCTGTGGGGTGGTGGAGAGTGGGGGGGGCAGTGGGGAAGCAAGATTCAAGTTGTGCCACTCAGTGAGATTTTTACGCACGGTGTATATTAACGTCACTGTGACTTTAAAAAAAAAGGTAAATTCTGACCTGTCGTGTTTTTTGTTTTTAAAATGAGATACTGGATGTGACGTGCAGAGCAGTCTGTTAGAAAGTGAAGAGCCTGTGAGGCCCTGGGGTGTTTCTTTTTTAAAAGAAAAATGTTCGAACAATAGAAGCAGACAGGCTGGGTGTGGGCAGCTCTCACGGACCAAGCTTTCTAGTGTTTTTTGTTTCAGTTTTCAGGTTCTGGCTTTAAGCAGTAGCTGTTGTGAGCTTGAGGAGGTATAGTTTCGAAGGTGGGGGTTCTCTCTGCTACTGTGAGTCAAATCTGTTTTTTTCTGAAGTTGCCTTTTTCATCAAGGGGTGTGTTTATGGGATGTTACTGTATTGGAACAGTCAATTACTAATAGTCACTGTATCCATTATTCTGTTCAGTTTTCCCATAAGTTATTCCAAGTTGTTCTTCCTTTTGTTGTATTTTAACTGCAGCGTTCGAATAAATTGTGTATTGCTTAGCATCGAGAAGTTTGAGCCGTCGCATTGCCTCTGAAATATGGCACTTCACATTTGCCATTAAAATAAGAAAAAGTTAGGGTCCAGGCTGCCTCCTTAAAATGTTTTGAGGGGGTCTGACCTGGCTCATAACAGTCACCTTTCAGGTGTGGATTCCAAACTAGTGGCATAAGAGGGTTGGTGACTTCTGTGAAGTAACACCTTTCAGGTATGGATTCCAAACTAGTGGCATAATGGCATTGGTGACTTTTATGATGTGTTTAATGTCCTTTTCAGACCCAAATTCAGCGTGAGACAGGATAGCAAATGGCTTCGCAAATGTCCCCACCTCTGCCTGAGCCCCGGAATGTTCGTGGAAGGTAGCCGATGTAAGTTTTTTTTAAAAAAAAAGACACCCAGAAATGCTCTTGCACACAACTGAACTGTTCTTTTTCCCCAACCATCAATAAATTGCCATGACAGTTCCTTTTAATCTCCAGTTGCAGACCGCCACCAATAAATCACCTGTGTAGCCAATCAGATATTTACATGCAAAGCCCATTCTAGGCAATGCTGATCGTCGGAAGGCGAGGGAGAGCGGGAAGGGGGCTAGATCAAAATTGAATTGGTTCGGGGAAATAAAGCTCTCCACCTCTCTCTCTAAAGAGATCAACAGCACTGATGGACACTATGTGCTCCCTCTCCAAGGGTACCTGGGTGCAAACAGAACCGTGGAAGAGGGGCGGGCAGGCATAATTGTTTGAAGTTTGTGTGACATGTAGACAGGGTGGGTAAGGAGGCGTTTGGCACGCTTGCCTTCATTGCTCAGACCTTTGAGTGTAAGAGTTGGCACATTATGTTGAGGTTGTACAGGGACGTTGGTGAGGCCTCTTCTGGAGCACAGTTTCCAGTTCTGGTCTCCTCCCCTTTTATAGGAAGGATATTATTAAACTGGAGAGGGTTCGGAAAAGATGTTGCCGGGAATGGAAGGTTTGAGTTATAGGCAGAGGCTGGAGAGGCTGAGACTATTTTCACTGGAGCGTAAGAGGTTTATAAAATCATGAGGGGCATAGATAGGGTGAATGGCAGGCGTCTTTCACCTAGGGTGGGGGAGTTCAAGACCAACGGGCATTTTTTTTTTAAGGTGAGAGCAGAGAGATTTAAAAAGGGACCTGAGGGGCAACTTTTTCACACAGAGGGTGGTGCGTGTATGTAATCAGCTGCCAGAGGAAATGGTAGAGGCTGGTACAGTTACAATATTTAAAAGGCATACTTTTTAAGATGAGAGGAGAAAGATTTTAAGACGACATGGGGTACAATTTTTTTTTTCTACACAGTAGTTCGTGTGTGGAATGATCTTCCTGAGGAAGTGGTGGGTGTGGGTACAGTTACAACGTTTAAAAGACATTTGGATAAGTACATGGATAGGAAAGGTTTGGGGGGACATGGGACAGGAGCAGGCCTGGTTTAGATTGGGATTACGGTAGGCACTGAACGGTTGGACTGAAGGGTCAGTTTCCATGCTGTATAACTCTGCCTGGATCTGTATTACATGCCCCCTGGCCAGACCAGGAGCAGACCCACAAGATGGACCTCCAATCTGCTCACACCCGGCTCCTGCAGCATTGCTCAGGAGCATGGGGCTGCAGTGCAACCAAAAACACAACAAAACAAGGTCTTTCAGATAGCTAAGAAAAGGATGCACAAATGCCCACAAACAACATGCGCACAATTCTAACATTCAGGCCAGCGAGACGGTAAACACTGAAGGCATTCATTCAACGGAGAACAATCAAGGATTGATTTCTGGCTCACACACGGGAAAGCTTTCAGGAAAGGTTTTGGGGATCAGACGTGGATACGGTTCCTCTCCCGGACAGTGGTTCAGGGAGAGCCCTGATGCCTTGGCTTGAGAGTCCAGACCAGGAGGGCTCGGTTAGGAAGATGGGCAGGTTACTAAGAGGTTGGCGGGGGGGGAAAGATGTGGAGGTGTGGAAGCTCTAAGCCCCGGGTTTCCCATGAGACAGCTTTGCTGTTTCGCAGGACGGCAACTGGGCAGTGTAACAACGTGAGTTAGCCTTTCCTACCCACCCCCATCCCCCACACATCCCCCCCACCAACCCCGGACCTGTTCCGCCATTCAGCGAGATCACAGCCCAATAAGGCAGTAAGGGTTGAAGGGAGTTACGAGAGG